GTTGGGACAGACACAGAAAAGCCTGGACTTCCTATAGCTTTGGTTGTGTTTTCCTAGTGCCATCCCAACTCTTTGTACAGTGCTCCTGCTCTCCTTCAGCTTCCTTCCCCTGCTTCATCCAGCACACCCTCATGCTGCCTCCTCCCTCCTCCTAGCCCTGCCTTTCCTTGCTCATCCCTCTCCCAGTTAGATTTTCAGCTCCCCCATCCCAAAACCACAACAGAAAGCACAATACTGAATGACAGCCCCACACCAAGTCTACATCCCATCATACCCCTTGCCTCACGGGCCTCTGTTTGTCTGTCCACATCTTGGCAGCTGGACCTGCCTTCCCTTGTGGGGCACTGCTTGGAATGGCCACAGGAAAGCAGGAAACTCCTGGGTGAATGCTGACAACATGGACAGGACACGGGTGTGGGAATTTACAGATGCATCTTCTTCAGCGATGTTGTTTGTGCTGCCCTCATGCCCAGAAGCATGCTTGGGTTCTGTACCAACATGCAGGAGACAACCCTTGCCATGAAAAACTTACAGCCTAAGCACAAACAAGGCAGAACATGTAGGGGACTCAAACGGAACAAAGTGCAGGGCCAGGGTGGAGGTAGACAGGAGCAGATAGAAGTTGTCTGTGTGTGTTTTGCAGGCTGCAAAGCTATGGAAAAACAGAGCAGTGTGTAAAAAACACCAGTAAAATTACTAGCAGTAATAGATTTGCAGATTTTACATTCAATAATGGTCTTTCTTTCTCCTACTATAACAAAATTTCACATACAAATGAAAGGATAAATCCAGCACCTGACATGAAACCTGTGACTAAACGTTCCTCTGTATGCCTGCAGCTTTGGGCTGGTGCACGGCCACCTGGAAAACAGGGATTGAGCAAGAAAAGAAGTAGGGCTGATCACATTCACATTGCCAGTCGGAGAGGCAGAAACACATTAATTAATTCCAGGTAACTCTTTTCACTGCTTCCTATTGCACACAAAAACCCCGTGCTCCAGAGAAGCAGAGCGATTCTCCACGTCTCCACAGCCTGTCGCTCTCTCCCTCTGCAGCACCAGCTGCTTCCTGGCAGTGGGTGGCACACGAAGAGCAGAACATGAAAGCAGCACATGTTTACTGAGTCCAAACTGTTTAAAGTTAAAGTTTATTTGTATTCTTTGTAGGAATATCAATAAAAGACCTCAAATGTATCTATATCTGTACATATTACAAGAACCTTCAAAAATTATTCACAGAACAAAAATAAATCTTCTTTAGAACAAACCCAGGCAATGAAATGCAGAAATGGATCTCAGAGACCAAACAGTCCAGTGCTACTAGCATAAAAATACGGCTTGAAAAAACAAGTTTATTACTTCTTAAGGTGTACTTTGTCAAAATAAAAAATAAATTATTTAGAGCTATCATTGCAAAACAGTTCTGTGTAATAACATTCTTATTAAGGCCCTTGAGACAGAAAATCTATTTTTACAGGTAGGATTCCTGGCAGCCATGACCTGCAATGATAAGTTCTCTCTCCTGGGAGCCAGCTGACTGTAGAGAAGGAAACACCCAAGAGCATCAGCCTAAATTTAACCCTTTTGCTCTGTCATGCTCAGCTGGATACCTGTGGCTGACCACGCTAATGCAAGATTTTATTATTATTTACACTGAATGGTTCAACTCGGACAGGACTTGTTCTCCAGAAACGACACAGACATTTTGCAGAACACAAGCAGAATTCATACACACACGGCAATCTGAGCACACAGACACTGCTGGCACACTCCACAGGCACTGCTGTAAAACCGACTGACTTCAATCATTGAGTTTGCAGATGAAGTTAAAAGCTGGTGGTTAAAGAAAGCATTAAAACATGAAATTAATATATGGTGAAAAAAAAAAAAAAGCCTAAGCCAACCCAAAGCAACTGCAAGAACAGAGAGTAAAATCCATTTCTCTGATGGATGGACACAGAATTTATGACTGTCACTCTTCATATTCTCTAACTGGAAAGCATACACATCCCTTTCCATGCTGCTCTGGATCTCCTGCTTAAATTTATTCCACTGCAAATGAAAGCTGTAAGAAGTGGAGCTGTGTGAATCTGTGCTTTGACATGTAGCTGCCCATTTCCAACGCACCAGGGATATCACAACTGTACTTCTGGATGTGAACTCAGCCTATTTCCCTTACAAAAAGGTGAGAACTCCTTGAGCTGCAAAGAACGGGCATTCACAGGACATGGCTGTGCTTGCTCCATTGTGAGTGGCTCTGTGGTCTGGGAAGTGTCCTAAAACAGCAATGAGTGATGGCCAACAAGGACTGAGATGGGGAGCATTCCTGCCCCACACCTAGAAATACAGGAGTATTACTCTGACAGCTTATTACATTTTATTACTTAGCTGTTTCTAAATGACAGCAGCAGTTGCTCGCAATAGCATTAGCAAAGCCTGATCAATTTGCTGGATGTATGAACCACAGTCTGTAATGCTTATCATCACATTTTTCCACTGTTTACCTTCTCACTTATTGCTGCAGAGACCCACTGGCTGTTAGTCACAGAAAGAATGAGATGGGGCCCAGGTAGGGTTCTTGTTCCAAAAGAGGCAGAGCTTTTTGGCTGCCACGTGGTTCAGTATCACTTGAATTTTATCAGACTGGACAGAACAGAAGCTGGCATTTTCACATACTGTCAGCTTAAAGTAGCTTAAAATTTCTCTAGAAAGCTGCTTGGTGACAAATTAGGAGAGACAGCTGCCTGCAGAACTCAGGAACATAACATTTTGTACTGTAGCTCATCAATTTTAGTTTGCAGCATTCTGAGTCCACAACCTTCAGCCCCTTTCAGCCCAACGGGCAGCTTCTCCTCTGTACAAGGAGACAGAGGAGTACATTTTGCACTTTGGGGTAGAAATTGAATTAATAGCAATTAAGAGAAATAGAATTGAATAGCAACAAGCTGCGAGGATGACAGCATGGGTCACATTCTTTCAGAACAGCAGCTCTTCCCAGTCCATAAGCTTAAGAAATGCACACAAGAAGGTACATTATTCAGAATGATACACCCCAAATAGCTCATGTATCAACAGGTATTATTTCCCCTCTATAGAAACCAGGATTTTAGTCCTGCATTTTTCTGCAGAAACCAAAGTGGATTCCTTGGAGTCTACAGCACTGAACCGTACAGTTCAGGCAGCAATGTCTGATGGAAGACTGGAAAGCTGGGGAGTTCTGCTGCAATGGATTTCTCAAATTCATGTTAGACAAATGCTGTCAGAATAACATACCTGCTTCTGCCTTGCTCTAGTCAATGCATTCACATGACTTCTTGCTCTTCTGTCTCAGTGACAGAGCACCCCTATGGTCTGCACTGCATGTTAAATGAGCAATACGCATGTCCACCTGCAAAGGCTACTTTTGGGAACAAACTTCCCAGGACACAGCTGTGAAATTACAGCACACAGCAAAGGGGAGATGCAAATCACACACAAATACTCAACTGAAAAAGGGGTTGCTCTTGTAAAAGAGCTACTCACAAGACACTGGATAGAGTGCCTATGGCTGTGATGCACAGAGGAGGAAGGAAAGGAGAGAGAAAGGAAGGGCACACTTGGAGGATCAAATCAGAGTCAGTGGTGACCCAGAGAAGGAAAACAATCCTGAAAGTACTGAAAAGAAATCACTACTGAGCACCAAGAAGTGGACAAGGATGCTATTGGGCCTATAGGACCAAGTCACATTTGGCAGGCAGAGAGAGGCTTCGATTGGAAAGAGCTGAGCACTGAGGATAAACCCCAACTCACTGCAGACAGGTCTCCTTCAGGTGTAAGTGAAAGCATTTTCCTTCTTACAGTGCAGGGTATGTGGTCTCTATGTACCTATGGTTAGAAATGTAACATACTTGTATGACAGTGTTTAACTTAAGCATCTCAACTCACCATAACCAAGGTAGAACAGTTAATGTTCTGTGTTACAAACTGAAGTTTGCCCACAGAGATTAATTTATTTGCAAACAACAAACAAACTCCACAACAGACACTGAATTTGAAGCCTCTGTATTGCCAGTCCTTCATGTTCAGGGCAACGCGGGCCCATTTCAAGCTGTTATGGAACTGACTTAGAAACCTCTACATTTTTAATGTAGTACAATTTCTAGAGAATCATAAACCGAGGCCAGGAAGGATAATCAGCTCTGACCTCCTCTTTGGCCCAGGCTACACAATTTCAGGCAGGTACCCCCACATTCATCTCATTGGCTTGTTCCTTTTTGCTAGACATAACCCAGGGCACCCTTGTGGGGTTCCAACATCAACTTTTCCAATTCCCCTAACTTGTTTGAATGGTGAATCACACTTATTATTAGCATACCCATCTAATTCAAAGATTGCTGTTGAAAAAAAGGTGTTCACCTTTAGAGATTAGGGGCTACAAATGTGCACCAATAAGTGGAAGCAAGGAGTCACACACCTCTTGACTTCAGTCTTCTAGGAGGACCTCAAAGTAAGTATGGGGGTGTGAAATCATGAGAACTGACAATACTGTGCCATTTGTTGTTTATCTCTTACCAGCTGACAATCTGCCACGAGAAGGTCACTTTGTACTTGTAATGATACACACACTGACATACAGCCTGTAAATATGCTTCTACGAAATGCAACTGAAATTAGAGATGAAAGCTAAGTCAAAATTCCTTAAGAAAAATAAGAGTGTAAAGAACTTCGAAACAAAACCCTTAAAAATATCCAGAGAAAGGCAAATTTCAGTGGAAATGGAAGCTCTTGCCTTTAACTGGAACTAAACTGACTAAGCTGGTGGCTGAAACAGTGAAAGTGAACAGGACAGAGTTGAAGAGATCTGCCAGGAAAACTGAAGTTTTGCAGACAGAACTCTACTGGCTGGGCACGGGCGCCCTTTGGTTAGCCCTTTCCTCAGAACATTGACCTGATTGCTCCTGATGGAGTGCAGGGAATAACTCAGGGTGTCGCTGCATGGTGCACAAAGTAAAGACTGGATTGAAATTAAAAAAAAAAAAAAAAAAAAAAAAAGTATTTACAGGTCTGTGAATTCCCAAAACAGAAAATACAAATTGCATTACAACGAGGGTAAAAAGAATCCTACCTTGAAAACTGCAGATTCCCTCTGTCTGTTTGCTGGGAAGCTTGACTGTACAAATGCAAGGAGACAACATCACTGCCCCTAGATTTTACCTTGTTCAGAATTTTGGTTTTTGCTGGAACCCCACCAAAAGCAGGTACAGTAGCCAGCAAGAGCCAATTTTCTTGCTAAAACATTTGCTATTGAGTTGGCATTCGGATGAAGGACAACTAGAGAAGAGAGGGATAAAATCAGAGGATGAGTTTTGTTACAGAATTCATTTCACTGCTATTTCACTCCATTCATGCACTTGCATCAGTCAGCCTGATATATACAGCTGCTATCTAATGTAACCCACAGCTCAGCTCTCTCACCCACAACACACATGCACTCACACTCCCCTCTTCCTTCTCCAAGGACTGCAGTGCTTTCAACAAGAGGGAAAAAAAAAATAATAAAAATAGCAATAATTAAAAAAAATCTACAGTATTCACTTCCTTTTGGTATTTTACATTGGCGTTTTCTGTACATGACCCAGAGCTCCCCCTATTTACACAGTGATATGGAAGGACTTGTTCTCGGGAGCCTGATTCTCCTGGCCTCGAGTGGGGAATTAAAGCCCACCGTTCAGAGTTCGTTCTTATTTTCTTTTTATTAGCAGCAACATGTAAACCTGGCGGGGAAGAGGGGCCGTCGGTGGAGTTTCTCGAGTCCGCTCCCTCGTGCCCTTCTCCTGGGAAGATGGCCGGCAGCGTGTGCCCAGTTAGCAGCTGCTGTTTTTGAATTCACCATTCTCCGTGATGGAAAGCTTGGTGGGGTTGGTGGGGGAGATGCCATTGCGGACTTGCATGCTGTAGCGCTCCTTCACCTGCGTCAGGGCACTCATCAGCCGCGTGTTGGCAGAGTCCAGGGACACGATCCGCTTCTCCTGCAACAAACAGCCCACAGCGTCAGCGCTCCTTCACGAACAAACAGCCTTTGCCCCACAACCTGCCTTACGGGCCTTTCCAGGACCTGGGGCCGAGACAGCGTCTCCGGATGATTTCCAGGCCGAGGCAGCTCAGCTAACATTCTGTGGTATGATGGGATGTCTGCCTCTTTCTGTTTTCTTGGGCTGGCGTGGCCTCGTGGGCTGTGCCCGTCGGCCCCTCCTGGCCTTAGGCATGATGGAAGTGATGGTGAGTTGCAGTTACGTGGTGAGCTCTCTCCAGACAGCCTCCAGCCGAGGCAGATGGAAATGCAGCGTTTTGCCATGGAAGGGGGAGAAGGGGGGCACGGGTGCTGGCGTTAATAACAATAGCCAATATTTCCTTTTAATGCGTTAGAAAAAACAGAAACAGGCAGCAGAAAATAAAAGTGGCGGTTTCATCTGGCAGAGAAAAGTGCAGGTGGTATCTAATGGCCATCGTCTCTGCAGTTGGGATGGAGTGTGCTCAGAATAAACCGATGGTATGTTTGAAATTAAATGGAAAAAAAAAAAAAAAAAAGCAAATGATGGCAGCCTGCAGTCACCAGCAGGAGTGAGGGTGCAATAGCAACACAGAGAAGCAGCCAAAAGCTACAACTAAGGGGTTACTCGAGGTGAAGGAGAAAGAGGGCGATGTGGGTGGAGGGGGAGATGCCATGGACAGAACACAAAGAACAAACACTGAACACACACTGCTCCTAGACCCATTCCAGCTCGGAGCGGCTCCCGGGCTCTACTCAATCCTGGGTTCCCACATCCCAGTTTTGGTTCTTCCAGCCTCTGCTTTTAGCAAGAGGAGTCACAGAGCTAACGGATATATACTGAATTTATCATAAGAAACCCTAAAAACCCATCAGCAAAACCCAGCCTCATAACAACTAGATTAGATGCAGTGAGACACAGCACTGAAGGGTCAAGCTAAAGAGCTGCTGGTGCAATTAGAAACGGCAGTTTTCATCTTCTCTAAAAAATAAATTAAAAAATGCAGCCACATAGAGCAACAGCAGAAATGGCAGCAGGCGCACACGCTGTCCATGCTACCAGCCAACTGTGTTTTTCACTCTGAGAAGGAGAAATGACTAACTTACTTGAATGAAAAAAGTAGTATGTAGGAACTCTTCTCCATCCAGCCCATTTAAGAAACAAAATGGAAGGAAAATGATGTATAGGAGGCACAAACATTAAGGGACAGTTCAGGCAAACTGCTGAGGAGATGCAGGTCTACAAACAGCCCCTTGAGATTGTCATCCTGGCACAGTGGCTGCGTGGTACTGCTGTAATCGTGCCTGCTTTCCTCAAGGGGCCTCCCCACAGGGGTAAATGGTTGGGTGCAAAAACAAAGCAGAATGTAACTACTGCTTACACTGCAGCCCTGGAGAGACCGATCTCTGTACTGCAGAGCAAATGGAGGAGAAGGCAGAAGTCAATAAACAGGAAGGCAGGCTGCAGCCCACCCCAGCACCCTGCTGCTTCCCCTAAGCTGTGAGAGCTGGCCATGGAGGAGATGAGGGCCTTAACCTTTCCCCGGTGCCAAAATAAATCCAGTTAAAAAAACAACTGCCTTTGCAGAAATGTGCTCTTCAGCAAGTTAAAACTCCTCCTCCTTGGACTAAATTTCCAATATGTACATTATTCCAGTAAGCACTTGGAATACGTACTTCAAAATTAAAATTTCTTCCTCAGGAGTGTCTTTACACATTGTTAAAAGTAAAAGGCTGGTGATTTTCTGGCACCGGTGAGTGCTCTGTACCAGCCTGCAGGCAACCTACGTTTGGAAAATGAGCTCAGCGAGAAAAGGCATCTTCTCACTCGAGGGAAAACACAACCTATCCGACACATCTAACCCGCAGGAATTGGGCACAGGGAGTGGGAGGAGCTGGAATGGGTAGGAGGTCAGTGCACTGGGCCAGGACTGGGTGCTGCTCAGCTAGAGAACTGATTGGGTTTACTTGCCTGTTTGAATTATCTCATTCCCATTAATGACCTGTAATTCAACACAGCGAAGATGTCACTTGCAATAGCAACTGGGCTAGTACCCTTTGCAGCTCCAAGGAGAGTGCTGCCAGACCTCTGCTCAGTGGGGGCTCTCAGTCAGCCTGGAGGGCCTCTGGCACTGCTGTGCACAGCAGGCACTGCCCAGAGCTGGTGTGAACAGTGCTGAGGACAGGGCTGCGCTTGTGCTCTGGGTTGTGTTGGGTGCTGCACCTGAACACTAAAGAGCTAAATCCTGAAAGGCATCTTGTGGTCATGTCATTAAGCATGAAAAACCCAGGTTTCCTTGCAGCAACCTCTCTTCAAACAGATGTGATAAGCCAGGTTCCAACTCCATTCCACAAACTGCACATGATAAAGAACTCTTCTTGTCTAATCCCTGCTAGATCCCCGTACCAAGGGAATCACAGGCTATGAAAAAATCTTCCAGATGTGACTTAGATGGATTGCTATGCTACTCAGCAAACACGTGGGCTCCTCTGGTGGACCTGTTCTGAATCTAGCTTTAACAGCGTTCAACCGAGGGAAACAACTTCCTGGAACAATTGGGGTTATTCCCGAAATAAGGCAATTTTGAGAGATTATCTATTCACCAAGTTTATAGTTGAAATTACTGAAAAACCCAGGAGCAGGAAAGACATCCTCCAAACACAGGGTGGCAGGCAGATACCAAACCAGTCTCGGGTTCCATTGGACAAGCTTTGCTCTCTGGGATCAGCACAGACACAGAAGAAAAGCTGACATGATCCCACACGATACACCCACATGCATTGCCCACGAGGTCCCAAAGCTACCTCGTGTCAACTGAGACAAGCACTGCAGTTTGTGGCAGAGGGGGCATTTCTCCAAGACTGACGCAGACAGTCGGATGGGGTGAAATGCCACATATGGGGTTACGTTGGGCAACGCTCCATGGCAAGCATTCTCTTGTCTTCACAGGAACATTCAAAGCCGTGCTTTTAGCTCGCATAGCTGAGATGCATGCACGTGGCAGTCCAACTATGCTGGTATGAAGCACAGCTTCTCCAGAGTTCCCAGGCCCACACTTGGAATGATGTCTACACAATGCACCACTATTCCTTTGCCCCCCTGGGATCTCATAAAAACAGAAAAGATTTTGGAGAAGCAGTCAGTCCTGTGATTTGTTGCCAGGCTTTCTCAAAAGCCAGATTCAGACAGTGCAGTCTGCATTAATTAAAAAACACAACTCTCCTAGAAGGCATTAGGTCACATGTGCAACACCATGAGCCAATACTGGCTTGGGAGCTAGATAGCAATGTCGGGGCAAGACGATAGGAGAAAATAATGGGTTCTATGCACAGAACACTTAGTTCTTGGGGATTCTGAGCTCCTTACCTGTGCATCAATAATTTTCTGCTTTGCATCGATGACAGCTTGCATCTCTGCATGATCTTTCTTCAGTTCCTCTTCAACTGCCATGAGCCTGATGCACAAAAAGAATTATAAATTAGGACAGTTCAGCATTATTCCAGAGTGTTTGAGGTACTCTGGCCTCTTGGTTTGACTTCTGATTGTCCTGGTCTGCAGGAACAGAATTCTGCTGCACTCCAGGAAGGATACTTATCCATCTCATGCTCCCAACTGGCTAACCCCGGTACTTGCAAAATGGACACAGCCAAACACACTGCTGTTCTGGAGAATGTAGCCTCAGTATTGATTCCAAACAAAGCAAAGAGACCAGTTCTAAGTACAGCAGAGACTAGCCTTACAAATTCCTTGCACCTATTCCTCCACTCTCTTGGCAACCTGAGGCGAGTTTCCATATCCATATCTCAGTTTTTTCACTTCCAAGGCAGGGCAGCACCACTGCAGAGATGTCAAACCACCCATGCAGCTCTACCTTCCTTAGTGCCAAAGAGAGCATAAGGCGCAGGGCAGCTGCTTGCCCTACACAGTTCCAAACTCTCCCAAGCCTCACCTGCTGATAATGCTTTTCATCTGGCTGTCCTTCTCCTCCTGTTGCCTGCGCAGTCTCTCCTCGCTGTCCTCCAGCCTGGACTTGTACTCCATCAGCAGCTTCTGCATTTGCTGCTCCTGCACCAGGAGCCGCCGCTCGTACTCCTCCAGCCGGCGGCTCGACACTTTCAAGCGTTCCTTCAGCTTTGCTATCTCTTGTTCATACTGCAGGCAGGCAGAAAGAAGGGAAGAATCAGCAAAAAAGGGGAAACGAAGAGATCGGATTGTTATACTTTTCTGCTGCTGTTTAGGGCCGACGCTTTTTTCATTAAGAACACAGCCATGGAAGTAAATGACAAGTGTACAGCTGTGGCCAACCGCTGACAAAGGAGCGTGGAAGCTCCCATTCAGCATGATGCTATTGCCACTCTGCAGGATTTCGTGCACAAACTAAGCATCAGATGGCTCTGACATGGCTCCTCAGTCCGGGCTGGTAACATCCCCAGTCACTCCAGACCCAAGGAGTTCCCAGACAGATGCTGCTAACAGCAGAAATATCAAACACTGGGCTACTGCAGCACCCCAACAGTGCATTCCTCAGGACCAAGGCATGAAACCACTTGTTCCAGGCTGAAGGCAGCTCATATTGCTCACAAGGCTGAAGTTTTGTCCTTCTACTTAATACTGGATAACCATTTCTGCATTAGTACAGAAATACTGTGCCATGTCAACGACAGGTGTCCACCTCAGGAGGAGCCCAGGACAAAATGTGAGTGCTGGTGAACCTGAACCTACTGGAGAACTGCACTTAACTGAGACTTGCACAATCACTTTGCAAATCCTGAACTATACTCAGTTAGAATTAACAATCATGTTGTTGTTTCTTTTTCAAATGGAATGTCACGATGACTAAAAGACTTCGCAAGCACAAAAAAGCAACAGAATAATGCAGCTACGATGTTGTCATCAAAATAATAACTTCAGCAGGATCTAAAATGCACTTACACAGCGTGACTCATGATGCAAGCAAACGTTGAATACGAGCCTGTCATCTATGAGCCCTGAGCTACGTCCACGTGCAGCCACCTGATATGCTGCAGCCTGGAGGTGTGCTCATCCACAGCACGGCACTGTGCCTCAGTGTGACAGCATGTGCAGCACAAAGCCATGCCCACACAGCCTGGTTGGTTCTGAAGGTATGACTGGCATGGCTGCACCTGCCAGCTGCTCTGCACCCAGCTGTGGGATGGGCAGGACCTGCTGGCAGCCCTTGCATCTTCCCACACAGAATGAAAGGTACCTTCTCGGCATGCTTGGCTTCATCTGGGTTCTGCTCCGTGTCTTCCTCCACTTCCTCGTACTGCCCGTTATTGAGGACCCACGCTGCTGTCCTTTCCACTGGTGACATTGTGGCCGAGTCCACAGGCGACTGGACCTGCAGCAGAGACACCTGTAAGCATTTTTCAAAGAAACCACACCCAAATCAGCTCTAACACAGTTTATTTGGAGGAGAAAAACGCCCATGGATCTGTCAGCCTCCACAGCCCCAAAACCCCTCTTGCAAAGATACTTCATCCTCCCTGAAATCTCTCTAAAAGCAGCACACTTGAGAAAACATATTCTTTGTCTAGGTGAGCTTCTCTGGAAAAAATCTCATTTCCAGATCCCATTCACATCCGTTTCTTCCCTTTGCTAGACTTTCAACAGGATCTTCTCAATGTGAGGTTTCCCTCTTGCAGAAAATGGAGCAATGAACCCCATGTGCGGCTGGCTCAGATCAGACAGGCAGGGGCTGGCAAAGGGCTGCAGATCTGGGTGGGAGACAGCGTGGTGGTACTCAGAAGTGCCAAGAGGTGTGCCATTAACATGGGGATGCCTATCAGATTTCTAAGGGTTATTGCAACATCGCACCCAGCCACAGCCATGAAAGGGACCCCGGGCCAGCAGTGCTTACCAGGACGGCTGTCTAAAAGAGTCTGGAAAGGAAGCTGCAAAAAGAAACCCCAAACTCCATCCGGCTGGGGGAAGCTTGGTCAAAATTCCATGCAGTTCTCGCAGACAAAGACAAGTTCATAAGCCCAGAAATTAGCATAACTACCCCTGAAAGAGCAACGCTGTCTCTGGGTTTTGAGAAACGCGGTAGACCAAGTTTTTGCCCATCCGTGGCTTCACTCTGTGCCCAAGCAGGCCGCCTCCAGTTGCACAAAGTGAGGGCTGCTCCGTGGCGTGGCCATTTGGAGGTCAGTGTCTCAGTGAGAAGCTGTGCGCTTCCAGCAGCCACATTCAGAGACCTTATGAAGGGCAGGAGGTTGGCGAGCACTTGAGATGCTAAAGGTTTATGATTTACAGGAGAAAAAAAGAAATGCCTGCTAGGAACCAATTCCCCTCCTTGCTCCCTCCCAGAGGAACACGCTGACATTTCTGTTCCCACCTACCTACTAAATGGAAATGGAAGGCAAAAGCTGACCTCTCCCAGCAAACAAAGGGCCTCGCTCTGCATTCAGAAACAAATGGGACTTGTGGAGAACAGAGTCCAATAATTATAACGCCCACAAAGCTATGCCTGGAAAGAACATGCCCAACGTCTCTTTTTGCTCTTTCTTTTATTAAACAAGAACAGAATTCCACAACACGATTTGCAATTAAAAGAATGCAGTGGAATTTGCATTTAAAAAAAAAATAAATGTTGGCCTCTCATTTTGGCACACTTCAAGGCACTTCGCAGGGGTGTGGGGAAGGAAAGAACAAATTGATTTCTCTGAAGTAGGAGCAAGTACTCCTGTGCACCCAGTGCCAACAATTAGCACGGGAAGGAGAGTGGGAGAATAAGCAGATGCATGTTGCTACAAGGGATGGGGAGGAGCCTGCCCCAAAGGCAGGCATGGCTGCAGGTATCGATGCAGCTACGGAGCACACAGATACCTGCAGACACACCGCTTTGATGCTAAACAAGGACAGGTAATGGATTTATTTAGGACAGAGGGAAGTCATTCCTGGCCTGCACATTTCCTACCATCTCTGCACTAGGCTCAGTTGTACTCAATGTACTTAACCTGTCACCCCATCCATGCCTGAATGTGAAATACACACTCAAAAGGAGGACGCAAATGCAAGCACTTCAAACAGTGAGTAATTACGTTTCTGGTATGAGCAACTTGGCATAGCAGCCTTTGCTTTGTGATTCAGTGCTTCTGATCTCGTACCCCAGTTCTGGAGCCCTGGTTGCTCTTGGTTCCCAGGCACCAGTTAGACTGTCTTCCTTTAAACTGCACCATTCAGGGGAGTTTGCCAAGACAGCTATGCCAGCAGGGACAGCAGCAAAGCCTCCAGGAGCTTGTACTGGCAAAAGAATTCCTCTGCCAGCTTTGCCTTACAAGCCCAAAGCTTCCCCTGCACAACCATGCCTGCAGCAGTGCTTCTGCTCCAGCAGGGATGTAGCTGCATGGGCAGCACAGTGCAGCCTCAGTGACTGTGACTTTCTGGAGCTGAACTCCTCCCTCATGCCTGTGTGCAGAGCAGCATCCTTCATAGAAGGTCTTCAAAAGCAGGTCAGGTAAATCAAAGCCCCACATGTTTACTCCTGCAGTGACCACAGAAGAATATACTCAACCCAAGGAACTGCACAGGTGTTGCCTTGGAGAGCCTCTCCCTGCCTAGCCATAGGCTATAGGACATTACTAACACCAACCACCTTCCCTCTGACCCACAGTCAAGACACTTCCTACACTCTCTGTAGCGTCAAGCATTTAGATACTTCTTTTTCTCTTTAATATTGCACTGATTTGGCAAATGCTTTTCATTCACAGCAAATCAAAACAGGATATTTTTTTTTTAAGGTTAAGGGAATGCTGGCTTTCTGACAGGAAAATCGTGATTTACAGCTGCCTACCAGCAACTGATAAAACGCATTAGGAATTGGTACATGTAAACACTCCTTTCCAAAAAGTGTTTGCATTACTCACAGTTTGGGATGATTAATGAAAAAGCAGTACTTATTTGGGGCCGGTGGTAGGTGGGTGGATCATGGCGAAATGCAGGTCTCTCCACACTTAAGACACCTCTAATTATTTATTATTTTGGCAGCACTTTATTCCAGGATATTCAGTCTTTGTTTATTCCTCTGTTTTTAGGTAGCTTTGCTTTTAAGTTAGCACCACAGGGCAAATGCATTCACTCCCGGCAACCTTAACTATGACTTAGAACAAAACTTCTGCTACTTTGTTATTTAGGAAACTGTTCAAGTTCTGTTTCTTTCAGCAGGCGTGCTGCTACCTTAGTAAATGAAAAACATTTTTGTTAAGCTTCTGTACAAAAGCATCCAAAATAATAGGTAAACTAGGTCTGCTGGGTTTGTAATGGTAACAAGTTGGCAATTTGTGGCCAGTAGCAAGGCTAAGTGCCACCGTCAGCCAGTACGACTCAGGTAATTTAGATCACAGAATAGCTTAGGTTGGAAGGGATCTCAAAGATCACCCTGTGGGCTGGCTGCTCCCCAGTTCAGGCTGCCCAGGGCCCATCCACAGCCTGGGGCACCTCCAGGGACGGGGCACCCATGGCTCTGGGCAGCAGCGCCGCACCAAAAAGCTTTGACGTTCAACACAGCGATCAGTTGAATACCAGAGCACGAAACGCCTGGGCAGAGACTTTCCTTACCTGCTGTGTTTGCTGCCTCTGAATGGCCCTCACCTTCGGGACAGGGCTCTCCCTAGAGGATGAGGACTGCTGCCGGGAGCGGCTGCCGTTCTGGACGGGCTCAGTCACCACAGCCCCCGACACGGCCGACATGCTGCCCGTGCTGCGCAGGGACGCGCTGTGCGGCAGCGACTGCGGCGCTTTGGCCCTGGCCCCTAAGCCAGCCTGGTCCATTTTGCGGATCTGCGCCTGGCTGCTGCTGTTCTGGCGGGGCAAGGCGATGGGGACGTGCTTATCTGGGACCGTGTGCCGCCTAGAGAAGTCCTCGCTCTGCGTGCTGCGCTTGGTGAAGTCCTCCATGCTGCTGTTGCTGGGCCCGCTGAGCTTGAAGTCTTCACTGTTGCTTCGGCTCCGGGAGCTGGCGGTGCTCAGGTTCTCCAAGCTGGAGTCCACGGAGGCCTTGGGCATGGGCGCGGGTGGGTTGTTGAGGTGGTACACCGGGTTCTGGAATGACAGAGGCTGGAGGCTGCCCTGCTGGTTCAAAGCTGGGTGCAGCGGCCTCCTCACCTGGGGAGCGCTTTGGGGCGTGCTCTGAGTCTCCCACAGCTGCTTGATGTTTGCCACTTGGGTGATGGAGAGCTGGCTGCCTGCCAAGCGCAAAGGCACGTCGTGCATCATGGAAGCGTGGTCGCTGTGAGCGGTGTGGGGATCCTGCAGGTCCATGAGGGAGATGCTACGTCCGTTGGGCAAGATGCTCTCTCTTTCATCCTTATCCGAGTAAGTCATGCTCTGGGTGGACGCCTGCTGAACCAACAGCAAGGTCTTGCCCCTGAAATATCCATCTATGTTTTCCTGGGTTGGAGACTTCAGTTTATGTAAGTCACTGTGGAGCGGAAAGGAGTTTGGTTAATTTTTAAGCAGCCAAGACCCTCACAGATCTGTCCCAGAGAAACCTCTTTACCTCAATCAAACCTCCCCTCTACTCCAAAAGCTTCAAGGAACTGGATTTCCTTTTATGAGCTCTCTGCGTTCAAGTCAGAACACAGCCTTCCTTAATTACCGCTTGCATCTTTGAAAATTAAGCTCGATTCAAGAGCGCTTCAATCTTCATTTTTCACAGGTGGAACACAAACTATTCCCACCAAATCCCCCCCTTACACCCCTCCCTTTCCAGCAAGACTTCAGAGAGGTTCCTGTTGCCCTTTAACCCTGCACAAAAGCTTTGCACATCTTAGAACTCAACAGGAGCTGTGTGAAGCTCCCATAGACGTAGCTGTGAGCCGGTCCCTATCAGCTCCCCCGTGCCCCCAGTCTCCCCTCAGCCTCGGGCTGTTACCTACCCATCAGTGGGGTCCTCGAATATCTTCTGAAGCCCTGAGGAGAGACTGCCACTGACGTTTGGACTAGAGCTGTGCTCAGTGAAACGCCTCAGCTGCTGCTGTATTGGCGTAGGGTTGGTCATTGATTTGGTGATGTCAGCAAGAATACGAGGAAGAGGTCCCAGTTTTGCCACGGTCGCCTGTAGGAAGGAATTTTCACCCTAATTGGACAACAAGCACCGCGACATCCGCCAGTTTTTGATAACGATGCACAGAGGCGGAGGGGTGGAGGTGGAAGGAAGGAAGGTGGGTGGTTGTGTGTGGGTGTGCCAGGACCGTAAGGCAGTGTTACGGAGCAGGGTGACCACGGCGACGAGATGGATGGAGGAGACGAAACGGGGTGCAGCAGACATTGAGGAAAGAAAAGGAAATAGAAAAGAAATTAGGATTGACCTCCAAAAATTAAAAAAAATCATGCTCAACAAAACAAAACTATGGCCATTCCAACGCAAAACTCTCATGCAAAGCGAACTATGTTCAGGCTGGGTGAGGTCAAAGTGAAAACTATGGTATCTATTCATTAAAGGGCATTCGCAGACTACAGATTCAGCTGGTGGGGGAACTTTCCAGGCAAAAGGTGTCATGTGGTGAAGGAAATGCATGCCAACAGACAAAGGGGTGTGCGGCATTCACGGGGATCATGGCAGGGCTTCAAGGGTTGGGGGAGATGGGAAAAGGGAAAGTTTTCATTTGCCTTTTGGCATCCTGCACCGATGCCAACTTCCGTAGCAACTTGTTATCAAAAACTAAGGCGTTCTTCCCTACTTAAGAGTAACTCCATGAAAGCATCAGCGATCCTCATCCTCACGTTATCACGTCAGCCTGGGATTAAAGGTGTACACACCCTTTGCTCAGTGCTGGCTGGGCTTAGGGGAGGGCAGCCGACCCTGGAAGGCTGCTCATTCAGGCTGCCTCTCTTTCCCTTTGGGTCACTGGCTATACCACCTGCAGGGCATCTTCAGGCTCGTGGCTCTGAAGGAAGAAGGGGAAATGCTGGAGGTTTATCATTAGGTAAAGCCCTGCCACAAGAACAGCTCCCTTCAAAGACATCCATATTTCTCCTGCAGGCAGATATTCAGTCAGCTTGACTCCAAGGAGAGGTATCTTTACAGACACTAACAGCCAGCACTACTTCTGTGTCTATTAAAATCTCAGAGCTGACCTCTCATCATTTCCCAGTCATTACCTGCAGTAAAGCAGCACTGCAACATAACTTCACCCCTTAATTCTTCTTTTAGCAAACCACTGTTAGGACAGACCTGTGCATCTAACCCACAGAAAGGGCAAAGTAGATCTGCTTTGACGGCCCAGCCAGGTGTGGCTCCTCCCTCTTCTCTGCATTGCAAGAGCAGCTCACAGGAACTGAATGCAAGGATCCATTTGCAGTTCTAAAGACTGCAGCTGGGTTTCTCTCGACCTGACACCTGACTCGTGCTCATAAGTTCAGCACAGCCTAGAGAAATGGAGGAAATGGTCTTTTGAGTGCTCCCTTTGCTTGTTTTCCTAAGGCTGCTGAGCTGCCTTTAGAGCAGACCTTACCGCCTGTGACATTCTGAACGTACGCTGTGCCTATGTGTGAACTAAAGGGGCAAACAAGGCCATAAATTGTGAGCCAATGACAATTAATACGTATTGTCTTTTCAAGACAAGGACATTTCTGTTCACTCTGATGCAACAAGCTCAGATTTTTTCACTTTTCTTTTAAAGAATGTACTGTGAAGAAAGAGATACCCAACAAATCACTGTTTTGGCAAGCCTGAGAGTAATAAAACAGGAAGAGTGCACTGCCTCACCTCACCTCTCCAGTTTCAAAAGAAACAGATGATATAAGTGGAATACGGACAAAATAATGCAGCTCTGAAGTTAAAATATGGAACAGTTCCATGGGAAAAAAAAAGAAAATGAAGGACAGCTTGGCTTTTTTGATCCTTATCAATTACCTTTGTTATCAAGGTTTTAATGATTTGGGATCATGGAAAGCCACGCAGCAAACAAACGCCTCTTCTCTCTCTATAGCTAAATGGAAACGATGCTTCCTGCTGGCAATGAACATCTATTGTGATCAGCAGAACAGAGTCTGGAAAAGGCATCTGATCCCAGCGTGATGCAGAGGCAGAAAGCACCCTGCCTTTGTTACAGGATAAAGCTGAGAGTCGAACCAGCTCTTTACATGGCACCCTCTTATCCACTAAAACCTAATCTGAAGACTGCAGAAATGAGACCATCTCAGCTGGCTTTGGATCAGGAGTTGAACACGAATGTGTTCTGCCTGGCCAGCACATTCCTGCACCAGAGGAGCATCGACAAGGGCTACAAGATTTTCACTCTCTGCCCAGAACACCCTCCTCCCTCCCTTTTTCCCAGATCACTTATAAGGAACCTTGCTGCTCAGAGAATTCCAGGCCCATTTTTAAGTGCTGCCTTCTCCACTTTTAACATCCAGCCTTACTTCAGACTCTGCAAAATGTTTGCACTACTGCTGGAGCCAACCACTTCACTGATGAAGAATCAGAGAAAGAACAGTTGTGAAACACCACTATCACACATTCCTCTCTGAAGCTGCTGAATAAGTTATCCCCAGTGCAGGCTTCAGCTGCTCCCTTGATGTTTCCCAGTGTTTACAGTTGCTATGATACAATCACCGGATTCACCCTCCCAGGCCTCCAGCCTGCTTTACCTTATCAAGTTGGGACACAACCTCCCATAAGAGGGAATGCAAAACTGAGAGCTCTCTGCCCAGGTCGATATAGCCCTCAAATCCAGGCATGTTTGAGATGGTATCTGGATTAGAGATCTCCAGGAGAAATCGCTTCATTCCCCCCCACTCATGTTCCAGAAAGTCGTTCATGAAAGCCATGTACTCTTCCTTGTTACCGAACCTGCAAGAAAGGAGAGTGGGGGAACATCCAGTCAACATCTTCTGTACAAAATATACAACATGAGAGCTTGCAGACAGTTATTTACACACTTAACTTTAGATCTCCCTTTCTAAAGATCGGATCTGGGAGGAAAAAAAGAGTGGGGAACACCATTTAAGAGATCCACTGCTTTTGGTCATGTTTAAACACCAGTAACTCACTGGTTGTGATACGAACGAGGGGCTCAGCCCATCCTCTCCCTCCCACAGCAATCTGTTTGCTCCTCCCCTTCTCTGCACTCCCTCCCCTGCAAGAGACATGCCCTTGTTACCATTCAGCTGGGAATTTTGGAGGAGGAGAAGGGGAAAGTCAAGTTCCTCAGTGGGAACAGTCTTTCTTCTTTAGAAACAGAATACACACTGACATGTTTATGCACAACTCTCTTCTTGGGTTTATACGGTGTCCCTCTACCATTCAACACAGCCCAAATCTGCGTGTGAAGAGGTGTCCCGAGGGGGAAGAGGTGTCCCGAGGGGAACAGGCTTCACATCTAAGCGAGAACTTTCTTCCATTTCTAAAGCTGACTTCGACCTGCTGTGTGCAGACACGACTACCAAGCCCTGCTCTCCTCACTCCACTGCACCCCCCAGTCGCTTGCAGCCCTAGGGGCACAGACTTCAGTTTTACTGTCACCACCTACTTAGCAAAATTGGCGAGATTCTGAATGACTTTAGCAATAAGTGTGAGCGTTCGCGATGTCCGGTCGTCGGGATACTCCTGCATGAGGCTGAAGAGGCTGGGGGACATGATGGCGGGGCACAGGAAGCGGAGGAACAGGGAGGCACTGATCAGCCGCTCGCTGATGTCCTGCTTGCCCCTGCTCAGGCACTGCTGCTTCCAAGATGCAAACACCTCCTTCAGCTCACGAGGGAACACGCTGAAAAAGAATAAACCGGGACGTAAAATTGCATGGGCAATGAGATATAGCAAATTGAGCTGATGATCAATCACCTGAAACAATTATCTGTGAGAAATTGTAATCGGCTTTATTTATTGTCTCTTGTCTCCCCTAGGCTAGGAAATGTCATTAGGCATCTATTCTTGGATGCTCACTTAATCTGGTGATACTTAAGTACTCTTTAAAGCATCCGTTTTAATATCTATTAGACGAAGCCCTTTTCAGATGCTGACTTACAAGCTAAGAACTACCTATCCATTGCTATTGGGAGCAAACACGGTGTTAGAATATGAAAAACAAACTGAACCAAACTGAACTCCATGACTACAACTGTTACCTGGCTTGTTAACCTCACTCAGTGCTCCACATGTGCTCCCCTTGAAGCAGAAAGGCCCTTCTTGCAATGGCACTCAGAAACAGAGATTAACAGAAAGCTCTCGGGCAACATTTCCTCCATCCTTGTGTTTTCCTGCTCATTTTTACAGATCTGAAGGGGCTGAGAGCTTTTCCCTGAATATCTGAACTTTCAGCTTTTAATCCCAAGCCTAAACTCAGCTGCAGTGCTCTCACCGGATTCTCTCCCAGCTGCAGTTCCCTCGGCACAGCATGCCAGCAGAAGCTGCAGTAGGTATGGTATACTGCACTGCAGCACCCTGGCCTGGGGCTGAGTTCCACCTGCAGTACTTCCTCACACAGTAAGACAGTGACAACAAACAAGAGCAGGATTGGAAGATCTACTGGATGGTCTATGCTATTTCCCTGTGCAACTGTTTTCCCACCTGTAGAGGAGGAAGGGGCACCTCCTGAGCAAATGACCTAACAGGGGAGAAGAGAAGCCTCACCAGTAGGAATTGATAATCTTGCAGAAGGCCAGCTCACAACACATTTTCAGGTTGCTCTGATGGTCTGTTAATTCACTGGATGAACATTTGCTGGGATCCACTTCACAGTTTTCATCTGACTCATACAAAGCCTTGATAAACTCCCCTGGACAAAAGGAAGAGGATGACAAACCGGGGTAATTACATGAGAAGCCTCCTTGGCACACCTTTAAATCCTGTTTATGCCTTTCCTTGGCAACTGCCTCTTGTCCTCTCCATGTCTGCAATAGTCTCCAGACACCAGCTGTTAGGGACACAGCTCCTCCCAGCTCTTTCAGGCCAGCATTTGCTCTGGCAGATCAGACGACTGCTGCTAATGCCTCAGCCTGCCGTGCCCCCACTGCCCCCACACCCAGGCACAATAACAGGACGGCTTTGCCGTAGCCCCGGCAGACGCTGCATTTATAGCCTGGAGAACAGGATTCGACTCTGTACTCCGACTGCATTATCAATCATATGATTATCCACAGCCTCAGAAATGAACCTTTGCTACTTATCTTCAGAATTTCTTCAGGAAATATATTTGACAATGTTATTTATTTTTCTTCATTCTAAATTTACTGTTTTTTGAATTTTGAAGTGTCACCTTGCACTTCAGTAAGAGGACTAGGTAAGTACTACCAGTATTCTCTTCCATCTGCATCTCACAGCATTTTCATAACCCTCATCCTTCAAAATCCCTCTCTTACAGTGTCACAATGGAAAATGGACACAGAAACAGGTGAAGTTCCCTTAATGAGCTGGAATGAGCTACTTACTGCTTTTCCTATCTATGGTAGAATGCCAATCACAAGGCAAACCCCTTAATTCATTCCTTTAGTTATTCAATGCCTTCTGAGTTCATCCCCTCAGATGATCTTGCTGGCTGCAAGCTAACACCAAGAGGCTTGTTTGTGCAAGGGGCCTTTGTTTCTTCTTGCTTTGTTTTCACACAAACCCTCAGTGCTTCCCCCCCACCTGAAGCCAGCAGTGTTCTCGCAACCAAAGCAGGTGGCACATCTTAAGCTTTTTTGTTGGGATCCAAAACATTTCTGCTGAGGGCATCTACATCACTTAATCGCCAACCTTTCGGCATCATTTCTGTGTGAGCCAACTCTGTTTCATCTCTTGTTTGCTGGGTATATTTTTTTGCTTAACCACATTTGAAATTTACTCTTTGTGGTCCACAAGGCCCTGCCTTTATCACATATTAAAAAGCACTTATGAATGCAGCAGAGCTAACACTGAGCACAGCGTTGTTAATTATCTCAAAGAATGTGGCATCTGAGCAAACCGACTGGGCACACTGAAAACTTGACTAAGAATTAGTACTGCTGTGAACAACCTTGCCCTGGGATACAGACAGGCTGGATGGCCTCCAGGGATTTTCCATCTCTTTTGCCTATGGCTTCCAATCTTACAGCACAAAGCAGTCCCCTGCTTGCCTGTCCACACTGAGAGCTCAGGACTGGGATGGTGCTCAGTGGTTCCATCATGAGAATAAGATACCAGGACAGCCAAAACACACACAACCACAGAGCCAACTATACTGACCCTTGCAGTACTAACTTAGCCAGTTATTGCCTTGATGACTTGCCAGCATCTGAGATTGCCGACAACAAGCAAGACTGCTGGGAAAGCAAGCTGGTGTTTTATTTTATGAAAGGATGTGGCGTGGAACTTGGCTTTGCCCTCAGCTTGTTCCTCTTGTATCAGTTTCCAAAGCTTTCTTCATCCGAGAAACAACAATGGGATGGGAGGCTCACTGTGCAATCTTGGGTAATAGAGATGGTGGGAAGGTGGTAACTGCTAACCAGAGAGGGGCACATGCCTTCTAGCCCTCTTTCTGGAGTTATCAGTTGTGTACACAATAATTCCCAAGGCAGTGGCACCGTCCTGAAGTCATTGCAGAAGCTTTTTCAACACAAGGAGTGCATACTTCATACCTCTGCCTGGAATTTCCACCTAACTGGATTGCACCTGATAGCAGGTTCACTCCTGACACACAAAGTACTCCATTCCCACGGTTACAAACCCTTTTTTAAACCTGGTCATAGAAGAGGTGGAACAGTCACCATTGCTCACAAAGTAACTGTGCTGTTATACCCCTCCAACACCAGCCATACAAAAGGTTACCCAGAAAAGCAGTGTCATGATGTAAACATGCTGAGGGACACAGCTGTATCAAATCAAGTTAGCCCTTCTTTGGCTGCTACTGCTACAAGCACCGATGAACATCTTCCTCTGCAGAGAGGAAAGGCATCAAGAACAGAGAGCATGTGTTCTGCTGCCTGGATAGCTGCTCACACACTGCTAAATGTAGCAAGGTGCACAGAGCTTCAGTCACACTGCAGAACTCAGAACACACGCTGTGACTCTCATGTCACCAATCCATGTGGTGAGGGCTCTTCACACACCTTGAGAAACGTGGGGCAATGCAGCGTGGGAACAAGGGATAACGTTATGGAGAAATGCTGGGTGTGGAAGGGCCATTCCAACTGCATCACTAGAGCAGCTCTTGTGTCTCAGCACAAGGCCCATGCTTGACTGGTTCTCTGCATCAGGATCAAGCAATACAAACAGCTGACAAAGAGGTACATTCTTACCTAACGCATCGTGGAGATACTTCTGCCCTACCAACTTCAGGTATTCCTCAATAGCTTTGGTAGCAAGCGTGTTCTCCCTGAAGATCAAGACGTCGTGCTCCCCACAGCGATCTACCTCAGACATCACCAGATCCGTTAAGAAGTCCTGAAGGAAAAGGTAAGATAGCAGATTAGTTTAACCAGACTCACACCAGACTAACTGCAGAAGCCCAGAAGGAAGGAAAAGCAGAAGAGACAGAGAATTACTGAAATAACTGCCCAGCTTAGCAGAAGGGATCCATATGCTACCTGTACAGCCAGAGCTCCTCTTGTATTTATTACATTTAAAGAGATTATAAATCATAATTTATAAAGGGAGAAACAAAGAAAACCTTTACGCCAAGCTTGTGTTTCAGTTTAGATCCTGAAGAGAAATCCTCATCAGTTTGTTTATAACTGCTGAAAGCAACCGTGATTTTATGATTGCGTTTTAATATTGAATATTACATACAACCTTGGATTTAAAAATCCAAAATGGAAGTGCTGCACAAACTCTCATGTATGCTTACAACAATTTGACTCAGAAAAGAAAAGTGATTCAGGATTTGGGAAGAAAAATTGATGGGATGCTGTGTATGGCTTAACTTGTTCTGTACTTAAAGGCACAGACAGGAACAATCAGTGAGTTTTGATACAGTGAATTCTCTCTTGATGCAGGGTCCAGATCTACAGTCACACCTGAGTAAGGACATGCAGCATTTCACAAGAAACACTCCTGTTTCACTACAGCCCACGTCAGCCCCTGCAAAGTCCTCCAGGAGAGGAACTGCCATTCCTCCTCATCACCACTCTCTCTTAAAACTCTTCCAACCCTCCCACCCAAAAACCAAGCAACCAAGGAAAAAAAACAAAAACAAAACAAACAAAAAAGAAACATAATAATGTGACATCAATTAAGGCTGAGTGACTGCAGTTTGAAGAGCACTACAGTAAGGATTTATAACCCCATTAAGGACACAAACCAAGACGTGGTGCTGGCATATGAATGCAAAAAAAAAAAAACCCAGAACAAATGAGATACAATAGGAACGTATGAAAAACACATGCAGTCCTGTTGTTTTTCAACCCCTTATTGCTTCTTTTAAGAAAACTCTTCATTTTCACCTGGTGCAAACATCAGCTGCACCACCACGCTGTGACATGGAAACCTTTGCAGATTAAGGCTATGGCAGCCTAAGGAACTCGATACTTCCAGCAAAGAGAGCTCCAAACTTACAGGCACTAGGAGAGCAACGGTATAACAGTAACTTCTCTACTTGCTGGAGGCAGATAAACCAGAGCCTGCTTTCCAGGAGGATTTCAACACAGCTCTACAGGAGCTGCCCCAGCTACCAACCTCTCTAGGTCAGACAAACAGCTGGTAAGCAACCAAGGGAATCACGCAGTGCCACAGAGCACCAGCCTTCCTGAGATCTACATCAAGCAATGGGGGAACAGTAGAGAGTGGGACACTTGGGAGTTACAGTGGGATCTTCTCAGAGCAGCTAATGTAAGCTGTCCCTTGACTGCTTTTGTGGTCATTTTCCCACACCTCCAACTCTAGCCTGTGCTCAGAGGTGCTTAACTTGCTCTAGCTGGCATTACTGGAAGGAGCTGGCTACAGCTTGGTACTACTCCCATACAACACCTGCATGAATCAATGCTTGTTAATGCCTCTCAGAATTTCTGGAAACCTGCAGGATATTCACCCACAATCTGTTCAAAGAAACCAGGGCTCACAATTACTGCATTACAGAGAACCACCAGCATGCACCTAGAAATCCTAATACCATTCTTCGGGCAGGTGGGATCACCATTAACTGAGTATGGATTCTCCAAATGGCTGTTCAATTGCTGACCAAATCGATGTTCGTGTTGATTAGCTGACTTAGCACTGAATCAACTATGGCATGCTGCTGCTGGCTGTACTGGAGATGTATCTATGGAAGTTACTCTCCAGTCTATTTAATTGTTGCTTACTTATCTCTTTATCTAGCATCACAATTCTAGAAACACAGAAAAGGTTCCTGAATACTTAAGTGCAGACTCATTTTTCAGTCCTCCCACTTACACTTTGTACACAGTATCTTTAACCTTCCTATCAACTCAGGCACTTAATCTGTGTTGGTGTGGTACCTATTTGCATGCCTTCCTGGCAGATGTAATCGCCAAGTCTTTAAAAACACTTTTGAGGCCCTCTTCTCAGCCTTAGCCCATCAGGCAACCTTGTGTGGCTGCTTGTGGTCACACCAGTCCAGGAATCCTATTTTCTACAGGCTGGCAGTTGAGAAGAGATCACCTATCACCAGGAGACAGGAGCCATTTTGACAGTGGCCTCCCACTCTTACCTTAGCTCTCCCCGTGCTCTGAAGAATATGCACCATTGCACAAGCCATCTCTTCCTTATTCCTTACACTGATGACTGGCTCCAGCACGGAGCACAGCATCGTGTAGTTGCTGGTAACAAACTCTGCAAACTCCTTGTATTGCTCCATGGGTAAGATGGTGATGGTCTGATAACGCGACTTGATGCGAATGGAAGGTCCTCCTGATTTCCCTTTGTTGGGTGTAGGTGTGCTGACTGGGTACCATTTTTCCACAAACTGGCGACCCGTTACAGTGGCCATGGGAATGTTGACCAAGCCGACGTAATTGTTTTTGTCCTTTTTCTTTTTCTTCTCCACATCCTTGTAGATGTGAACCGTGATGCTGTGAAGAGCTGGGAGACCGTAGAACTCAAAGTGCTCTCCCCAGAAAATGTTATCTGCTTTCGTTTTGCTGGTGGTGCGGGCAAAGAGAGTGTCATCAAGGCACAGCTCACAGAAGTATTTCTTCTTGGGGGCCAGGTCCTTTGCCTCAATGATCCAGAGACGGAGCACATTTTCAGCTCGGCGGCAGTTGTCCTGCACAGAAGAAGGAATTCAGTTTTGATTCGAAATCTCTAAAATATCAAGCGTGTTGTCTTATAGAGAAGCAGCAAAAGGCTGCCCTTCGCATCAGAGGTAGGGACGGAATCTGAATTTGCACAGATGTGCCTCCACATTAAACCTTGAAGCTCTGCATCCCTTCCTTCCGAGGCACCAGAAATCCAGTTTGAAACATCATAATCAGGCATGGGGAGATCAGGAAGCAACGTGACATGATTTATTAATCAAAGCTTTAACCTACTGCACCGAATGGAAAAGAGCACAGCAGCTTTTGATACACTTCTGAGTGGACTCTTCCCCGGACTAAATTAATTGAGCAGGTGTCTGTGGAAAGCCCTGTTACACCAGACTAAAACCCAATCATATCACCAGTGTTGCCCCAGTAATCTCACTTCTGTAGTTTCTGTTACCTTATTTGGCTGCACGGTTCTGCGTAGGTTTTCCATCCACTTATCCCTCTCTGCAGCAGAGGAACAGCTGAAGCATTTACTGCCGCTGGAGTAGGTTACCTGGAACATGGAAATGACAGGCTGAGTTCAGGCAAGCCTAGGAGACGTGTAAGGGGCTGCAAGAAGCAATGCTTGAGCAACTAAGTAAACATGAAAAAGGCAGGAAAACAACAGAGGAGCCTGCAAGGCAGAGAAGTTAAAAGGCCCAAAAAAAAATGCAGAGAGAAAAAAAAAATGTCAGTTCAAATTAAAGTTACATATGAGGAGCACCAAAGGCTCCTCTTAAAGGCTTTTAAACGAGGCTTTAATCAAGCAGTTAATTTTTTTTTTTAACGCTTCTTAATTGATCCATAGCTCTTAAACTCTTGTAGTTTCCCCTGCTAGCTCTCAGACAGATGATTTGGTTACTAACAGGCTGAAGGCAGACAGAACATTGTATTTATACAAGTTAGAACACAGTGCAAATGGTGTCTTCAGGAAACACAAAATGTTTCTGACAATGAAACACAAAACAAAGGAGCTGTGCTCTGAACTAGCCCCTGCACCCAATGCCATCCACAATCCTGCTTCATGCAGGCGTGAGCCACCTTGGCTCTTTCACATGTATCTGGCCTGAAAAGCCTAATTTACCCTTCCCATTCATCTGTACACACAATTAGAAAGCAGTTTGAGGCAACAGTCCCAGAGCTCTGATGCTGCCAGTATTTTCACAGCACACCTCAAACCTAAGCAAGCTGGAAAATGCTTCCAACCGAAGGAATACGAGGCTGAAGCAAACAGGAGCAGCTCCTGGATCCACCCCGAGGGAGAAGAGCCTGATATGCTGGTTTTCTGCAGCGCAGTTTCCCAGGTTGCAGATAGATCTCTGCCCCAGAAGGTACACATCTGAGCAACCCCGCAGCAGACAGACCGGACCAGCTGCCTATCACCCCTGCTGCCAGATTACGGCAGGTTTAGATACAGCCAAACAGCACACATGGATATGCTGTAAGGTAAGCACTGTGCTCACACCAACAGCAAGAGGCTCCCGCTGCACGGTGCAGCAACATGCCCACCGTCACCGGAACCCCTCCTGCAGCAGCCAGGGAACAGGCTGGGCTGACAGAAGCAGGTTCAGACTGGAAATCACATTTCTCAGTTATAGCATAATTTGTACATTTAATTCTAAGTAAATCTGGGGAGAACGAACACGCAACTTAGGAGCAACAGTATGTTTCAACCATGCATTCGCATCCAAACTACAGATGCTTAGATACTTTCTAAGATAATGAGAGTTTTCCACTTTGAAGACGCAGCAGCTGTAGATTTCCCTGCACTGATGGCTCGGCCCCAAGGACTCCGCCAGCCCCCACCCAAACCCCCAGGAAGGTTTGGCTGCAGACCCCTTCTCCTATTACAAAGAGAACAGTGCCCCGCCAGGCTTCAGACCGACTGCGCCGCTTCTATTCGGAGAACGCTCTTTACCTCAAAGCAGAAGTCCTGTCCAAGGATACTGCTGTGCAGGGGCTTTACAAAGACCTTTTCTTCTGCCCCAAGGTCCAGGGCCTCCACTGCGCTGCCGGGGCTCAGCAGGGACTCATGGGAGCGGGACTCCTTCAGCTTCGGCAGCCCACGTGATCTGCAGAGCAAGGGGAGAGGAAACAGCCGTTTTCTCACAATTACCAGCAGACTTGGCAAGATCTCAGAGAAAGCTGCCAGTTGTTTATTCACAGCAACTACCACAGTTAGCCTGTAAGCCTGACGACAAGTAACGTCAGTCCAGTAAGCCCTGACTCCTAAGGAAGCATCCTGGGCACAACTCTGTTCCCACCCACCCGACCATTGCTCCCGCTGCCCAGCAGTGGCAAACCCCTCTAGAAGATGCTGATTTTAGAGGTGACAGTAGTGTCACAACCTTCTGCAATAAAGTCACAGCATGCTTTAGGCACAACCAGCATTTCTACTTTTAAACATCATGCGCATACACGTTTTTCCTCCAGCTGGAACTCAGTCAAAGCAATGAGGGAGAGCACCTGTCCCAGCTTAGCAGAAGAGGAGCTGTTTACCTGGCAGGTCTGATTTGTAAGATGCTCAAGCTCACATTGGTACCTACATCTGTTCATCTCTGAAGGTGCAGAATCACAGAATCATTAAGGCTGGAGAAAACCTCTCAGATCCCCATGTCCAACCCCAACCCATCCCCACCACGCACACCTCCCTCAGTGCCACGTCCCCACGGTTCTGTAACATCCTGTAACACCTCCACGGATGCTGACCCCACCCCACTCCCTGGGCAGCCTATGGAAGTTTAACAAGAACATGGGTATCATGAAGGAGTCACAAAAAGCAACAAGCAGAGTTCAGCTGAATGCTCTTTTGTGCAAAATGAAGTGCTGAAGGTATTCCAGCAGATTCACGTACAAGAAGATGTATTGAACACAGAAGGAGAACTTTGTTCCCATTTAATATATTAAATGACCTAAACGCAGGCAGCAAAAAGCTTTCACCAGTGGGACATTACAAAGACACTGATTTCAAATGCAAAACAGCAGCACTGGTACAAATGCTTTGGCTGCACTGTGCATGCTTTGTTACAACAGGTTCCAGCAGCAGCTGTACCAACGCAAACCCAAAACCTCAGCCATGTATAATTGAACACTTGCTGCAGTTAAGGTAGGGCAAGTCTAAAATAAACACACCACAATACACCACTTTAATACCATCACTGCAAAATCCTCTCTAATTTCTCCTCTCAAGAAAGCACTGCTGAGGTCACTTGGCTTCTATCCCTGCCCCAAACTCTCAGCAATTCCAGCCCTAGCCGAGTACTTTGGTGCATGATGGAGGGGAGCTGGCTGAGAGCCTGCAGCTACCACTAGCCTCAGCTCCTTGGACAGAAGGAAAGCATGCAGTGGTCACAAAGAGGAGGGGAGAGGGAAAAGAAGACAACAAGAGCACCAAATAAAGGACAAATTTTGCAAATCCCTACTCAGCAGAGGCTGCATTTGGAGGAAGACAAATCAAGCCCACCTACATGAAACAACTGTACAGCCACTTAGCAGTGCATCCCCAAAGCATAGCGGTGCCACATGTCAGAGTCCTCCGTTTCGAGCCCAGTTCTGTGGGCTACATCTCAGACAACAAATCCTGCTGGGAGAGGAAGGGAGGCCCAAAATCCAGGAGGAGCTGTTTCTCAAGCCTCAGGTCCCGGATTTCTGAGGAGCACTGTGCCAGGAGGATGTGCTGGGGTATGGAGAGCTGCCTTGGCACTGTAAGCACTGCCCTCACTGCGCACTGTCCCAGGGGTGCCACGAAGAGGCTCCTGGCACGTGTTGCCATGGCACAGCTCTGTAAGGAGATTAGGGGAGGCTCGGGGAGCCTGCTCTGCTGATGTGGTGAAGGTGACTTTTCCAGAAAGGACAAAGTCCGTCTTCTTCCCTTCCTACAATGAGTTTAAAGAGACCCAGACAATGAAGGACAGCAGAAAGAGTGAGGCATCTTCCAAAAACACCTCCACGCAGCCTCTGGGGCCGGGGTGGGGGCTGAGGGGGTTACATGACAAGCTGTACAAAGTGCCTGCACATCCCATCTTGAGAGTTACACCTTCCAGGAGCATCCATTCTGCTCAACTTGTTAGCTTTGAACATGCGCTTTGGTGCAGACCAGCTGCAGAAGGTTGGTTGTGTTGGCTCAGGAGGCAGCGGTGGAGGAATGCCGATCTGTTCGAGCAGCTCCTTGAAGCTACCATACTTAAATAGCTCATTAAACTGATTAAGTGGCTTAAAATTGGCACTTTGTCTTCCATAAACACCACAGCAGTGCTGGAAAGCTGTTGGTTAGAGGCAACCACACGCATTTAGGAACATAAATATACACATTTGTAATCCCCACAATATATATTTCACCTATTGATAGATCTGCAATGCAAATCATTTATATGTGCCTAAATCAGAAGCGTCCCAATCAATAAAGGCAATAATTACAGGGAAATAATAGTTCTCTGCTTCTTAAAAGCCACATCTGATGTTCTGAAGCCATCAGTAAGAGTGAAGGAGAATTGCTTGCAGGCTTCCCTTTTGCACAGGGGCAGAGTTAATAAGTCAAAGTCACTGACTTGTTTCCCAGTGCCCAGCAAAGGGGCAGGATTAACAGGGTCTTTTCCCATATTAGTTAGGGAGCTGCTGGTAACAGGAGTGCTGCTCGGAGTCTCTGCTAAGAGAGGTAATCCCAGGGAAGCAGATTACTGTAAACAGGAAGATCACGCATGCACAAGGTGGGGGAAGGGTTGTTTGTCCAAATCTGTTTCTGCTAAACAGCTCCATTAACAACCCAAATCCTGATTTACAATACAATTAACTTCAAGTGACAAATTTCCTGCGCTTTTTCTGTTCACTGTTGCACACAGCAAAGGATCACCAAAGATGATGCACGAGTTCAAAGCAAACAGTTACCAACAGCACTGACGCTTCTCTCATAGCTGCTTTCCACAACTCCTTTCCAATGGGAAAAGCAGGTGGAAGAGATGATTTTCAAGGACTGCTCTGAGCTCCTCGCTTCATATTTTGAAGCAGCAATCATAAGAGCTGAGCAAATTCCTCCTAAGTCAGAGCCCATGTTGCCCTGAAGCGCTGACCGAGCAGCAGCAAAAGGTCCCTCCAATGGCAGCACCACACAGCCCTGGCTGACACTCTCTCCTTGCACACAAATTCACTTTTGCTGCTGCAGGAAGCTTGTAAGCAGGGAGCTCAGCTCCTCCAGGTTTTGGTGTCAGCCTTTTAACAGACTGCATTCTACTGTCTATAAGACACGCAGGATAAAGGGTTAAACCCTAATTGCTCTCTGGTTATGAAGCTCTCCTGCTGATTCTGACCTATTTAAAAAGCCAAACAAAAAAGCACAAAAGACTTCCAATTACGGAGCTTTCCAGGGAGAGCACTGTATTGCCTGGAAAACAAACGTGTGGTCATCAATAATCCAGAAGATAGAAATTAAAAAACAGAAGAACGCATAGAAATAGAGAAAGGAGCTCCCAAGGAATAGAGTCCCACAGTCTATGTTTCCTTTACCAACACAAACTGGCGTGAAGGCAAAGAATTCTAAAGCGAGTTTTTTGCTCAGCCCAAAGACCCACAGCTGAATTCAGTACTTAACCACTCGCAAAGCCACAGCAGCAGCTCTCTGCTCTGCTCAGCGCTGCTCTTGGGATCGCAGCTCTGCTGCACCGCGCCCCGATGTTGGCAGCATGGTCTGCAACAGGACGGCAGGGCAGCAGCAGTGGGCTCCCCGTGCAGGCATTCATTCTGCTAGCACACCACACCCTGCTTCATTATCCAGCTGCCTATTAGCAAAACACCCTATGACTTGGTCAACAATTCTACAAGTCCAACCAGTTTCATCATTATCGTTGTTTTTTAAGCCAGACGCCAGCAATTTATATTGGAGGAGCCTGGGGTGTGCTTGTACTGAGGGGCTGGTGGAGCCTGCAGCAGGACAGGGCGACGGCTTCCAACAGACAAGCTGCCCTTGGGATGTTGCTCAGTTTTCACTTGGAAGCTGCACGAGGAACCAAAAAAACTGGCTGAAAGAAACACGTCTCACTCCAAACAGGAGATGTCTCTCTTGAAACAAGCCACTCCTCCCTTTTCCCCGTGCAGACAGAAAAAGATATGCTGAATGAATACAAGCTCTGACTGAGTCGAGCCTTAATAATGCATTGCATAATACAGATTTTATCCTCGAGTCTCAAGCGGAACAGAAATCACCCACCTTTTTTTCTTTTTGAAAAGGGGGATTAAATTACAACAACCAAATATGAGAACGCAGGAATAGGAGGCGAAGAAGAGAGGAGGGAGGAGCACAACTCACCGAAAGTAGAAGAAGCCGTCGTTGGAGCAGCGGTGCCGCTTCACCATGAAGCCCAGAGCCATGGCTACCTGCTGCCCTGCTGCCCACCACAGCCCATCCTGAGGGAGCACGGAGCTGGACCTGCGCTCGGCCACCACCATCGGATAATGCCATAAAATGACTTTTAGTGCATCAGCAGGGTTCCCACGTGGCACTAAATCCCAACAGGGGAAAACCCTCCCAGCTGTCTGCACAGCTTTGCCGCAGTCGCTGAGACCACATGCAGCCGGTCTCAGCAATCTCGGCTTCCTCTCCAGGCATCAGATGGAGGTGAGAGCTGGGGGTCCTCCTGGACACATTCTCCAGTTGCCCCAGCTGAAGACATACGTGGTCCTTCCTCACAATTTTACTTCTCCTCATGCTTTTCTATGTATTACTGACAGAAACAACCTACGAGAGAAATGCCTGGGTTGGAGAGCCCAAAGAACGTGCTGGGAGCCAGGCTAGAAAGGCAGTGAAGGGTGATTTGTGGCGCCACAGAGACTTGTGGCAACAGCTGCCGATAGCCCACTGAGATGCTGTGCCACCACATGCCTGAGAGCTTCGTGCCAATCTGGCAATGCCACAACCAAGCAGAGTCCTTATGCTAGTGGCCTGTGAAGGCTAAACACGAGTTTTCACCAGGCAGACCCAGACCGTGGAGTAATAGAAGTGGTGTTACAGAGGCTGTGGATTCAAGCACAACACTCAGCTACCGGCCACAGTGGGCTCAATTCTGCAGGGACACCAGTTTTTTCTTCAC